CTTATTTTCGGGTGATCATACACTAATGAAAACATACCTATGAATGTTATATTCCCTTTCTGACAATAGATCCTCCTAAATATTACACACTGCACCTTTAAAAACAATGATATAATAATAATAATATATATATATATAACATATGCCTTTTAGGTGGCAGGAATATTCTTTATCCTTGACATTTGTTGTGTTTATTCTGTTTCAGAATGATGAAGACAACTTGAGATGAGAAAAATTAGATACAAAATATAAAGTACACTCTGCAGGATGGAAATGGAGCTAAGCCCCTAGACACCCCTAGCTTTGGGTGAAACCCATAATTTACAGCATCTGGCTCCGCTCCTACTCACTGGGTGGTTGCACACACAGAATAGCACCAGACTGATCCTTTATCCCTGTTGGTTCTGAACAATACACGAGAAGTGCAGATTAGCTGTATTACATGTTACTTAAGACATGACTTCTAGTATACTGCAGTAGCCTACATTATCATCTGGTAGGAATCATGGCCATATAGACTTATCTCACTGGTTTAAGATACAAAACTTACTATCTTACTTACTACTATCATAATGCAACAGATAATTATCCAAATATTTAGAAAGCGGAGTAATTTTCTTGAGTTAAAATGAAAACAGTCTGTTACATGAAAAAAAACCCATGAATACACCTCTGATGGGATAATACTGTTTATCACCGTACCTAGCTTTTATCATGTATAAGTGTATTACAATAATAATTTTGAATTAAAGAAAGTGCTATGACAAAGAGATGTTCATACTGTACACTGGATGTGCACTCACACACACACTACGCCCACACCATATACATGAATGCACCGGAGGTTAATTATTAGATAATAAGGTGTTTGATGATAAAAAAAAAAGAGTACTGTAAGTAACAATGAAATTAAAGCTGCAGTGGTTAATTTTTGATAAAATATTTATCTGTATTTATCTGGTGGATTCTCGCAAGTGCCATTAAGAGCACTAGGAGGAGCCAGAGGAACCAGATTTTTTCCCAGATACTCTGTCTCATGTGCTACTGTCAGGATATAGTGAAAGTTTAAGAAAATATGACAAAAAGTTATTTTTATAAAAGTTACCTACTGCAGCTTTATGCAGTGCTGCAAGAAACAATTTCTATATAACAACAATCATTAACACCACACCAAGCACTCCATAATTATGCAGCCGTATGCATTTTTATCCAAAATGTAACTGCTATTTCACATCTAATTGCTTCAACACATCTTCTTTCAACTGGTTTCATACTTTTTGGATGAGATCATGCCAAGTGGTAACCTCTGAGGCTGAAAATCGAAGCCAACACGGAAGTGGCAAAAACTGCCACTTGAAGTGAGTCCATAATCTCCATTGTCTTAGTGTTTCACTCGACTCAGGCCTAAGTTTTAACAGTTATGTAAAAGCAATAACTAAATTAACATTTTATTACCTTAAAAATATAGCCAAAGTTAGGAACCTCATAAAAAAAGAAGACTTGGAAAAACTGACTCATGCTTTTATCTCTAGCAAAATTGACTACTGACAGGACTTTCTAAAAAGCACCTGCAGCTCATTTAAAATTCAGCTGCAAGAGTTCTGACCAAAACTAAAAGAACAGCTCACATCCCACCAGTTCTTAAACCTCCACAATGGTTGCTAGTAAGCTACAGAAATGGAGCGAAGCCTGCAAGCTAGTTCAGGCAGGTCAACTCGAGCTGCGCTGATTACACACATGACATGCCTTATTCCATAATCACTAACCAAGCGCACCTTTCCAATCTGGCGGTCTATTTAAACTGCACAGTTTCCTAGCTCTCCCTCTGCTCTGTCAATGCCGCTGTTGCCTTGCATCCATATTGCTGCTGCTGCTGCTGCTGCTGCTGCTGCTCTGTAAGCTATTGCTGCCTGCTGCGCTGTAAGCCCCACCACCACCCCAGCATCCACTTGTAGGCTCCGACTGGGGGTTAAGGTATTTGCGCATCACTCCCCAATATCTCATGTAAACATATCTGCGGGGAATGATGAGGTCGGAGCCTAGACGCCAAAATCTAAATATGCTATACTGTTTAATAAACATTCCACGTGAGTTGGCTGTCTGAACTGAGTTATATTCCTATTTTATAAACCTATACATGGAGTTGTCCCTAAATCCATATCTGATATGCTTGAGCTATATAACTCCGCAAGACCTCTCAGATCTCTGTGGAGCGGACTGCTAATGCTGTGGAGGGTCAAATCTAAACAAGAAAAAAGCAGCAAAGCGCCAGAACCAACTGTGCGGAAGGAACCATTATAGTTTTTAAATACTTACTTACATACTTACTTTTTTCTCAAGGGCTTTTACTTAAATGTTTTTAAAACCTGAGGTCTATTTATTATTGTGCTTTTACTATTTTTATTTATTTTTCCTTTTATCTTAATTTTAATTTAATTAATTAAATCTTTTTATAATGCTTTTTTAAATCATATTATTTAAATATTGTTGTATAATATTGTGTTGTTTTATCTTTGAACTGTGCTGTTTTATCTTTGAATTATGTTGTTAATCTTTGAACTGTAAATAATAATTCTTATTATTATTACATTTTATTTTATCTTTTTTTTGCTTTTTCCCCCTCTTCCCTCAAATTAGCTGAGCCCCCCCACGGCAGCCCCCACTGTGAAAAACACTGTTATTTATACTTATTTTAGAGACCCACACAAAGCTCGGATTATAACTCGAAAACTGGATATGAGAGACTTGAAATTGGAAACGGGGCCTCCAGCAATATAGTCCATGAGTGGAATTAAGAGCTTATGTGAAGCTGTCTAACAGCCAATATAACATCAGTCCTGTGAAATCTTCTGAAGTAGTAGAGCATTTTTGACAGTATCAGCAGGTGAGCAAATCCATACGTGGCAGAAATCGATGACTCTTGCTCCGCTGCACGTGGCTTTATGACCGTCATCATGGAAACAGGCTAGTTCATGCTCCGCTGGTTTACCATCACCCTGTGGAGAGTACTGCACACAGACCTGCAAACTTTTACAAATGGTAATAGGTGGATGTAAAGGGGGAAAAACATCCATGAGTGGAAAAATGCCAGTAAGCAAATAGAAATCCACGTTTACTACTTCTAGATAACTGGGCAAGCAAAGCCCACTGGTACATGTAAATGGTAATGGTAAATTAGTCATCACTTGTATAGCGCCTTTCTAGTCTTCCGACTACTCCAAATGCTTTTACACGACATGCCACATTCACCCTTTTACACACATTCACTCAGTGATCTATCAACAGCAACTACCACATTCATACACATTCACACACCGGAAGCAATTCGCGGTTCAGTATCTTGCTCGAGGATACTTCGACATGTGGCAGGAGGGGCCGGGGATCAAACCAACAACGTTCCAATTAGGGGACGACCCACTCTGCCTCTGCACCTCAGCCGTCCATAGAAACTGACAGTCGATGAGAAGGAAAATGGCAATTGCTACAGTCTATCTGGCCATTCTTTGCTTCAAAAAGGTCACTGTCCAACAGCACTCTTAACCCTCCAATGTCAGTGTGTTGGTCTTAATGACGATTCATTCATTTTGTGTTTCTTGGTAAGATTTTCTTTGGTTATTTACAGTGTGTTAACGCCATGGTAAATGGACCTGTACTTGTATAGCGCCTTTCTAGTCTTCTGACCACTCAAAGCGCTTTTACAATACGTGCCACATTCACCCTTTCACACACATTCACTCAGTGATGGCAAAGTCCATCGAACAGAAACTAACATTCAAACACATTCACACACCGATCGGGAGCAATTTGGGGTTCAGTATCTTGCTCAAGGATACTTCGACATGTGGCACCAGGGGCTGGGGATCGAACCCACAACCTTCCGATTTAGGAACGACCCGCTCTGCCTCTGAGCCACAGCCGCCCCTATTGGCCACTTGCAGTAACGGCAGGTTTTGGTGTATGGTAACCCTTGACCGGGCGCACAGATCTCTACGCACTAAACCCAAGGAGGGGGAACCTCCACGACCACTTATCGCCAGGGTGAGCCAATTTCAAGTCTGCAACGAAATCCTACGGCGCGCATCGCAAGCAAAGACTCTGGTTTACCAAGGGAAAAGAATGTCCATCTTCCCCAACTTCGCCCGGGCCGCATTTGCTGCAGTAAAAAACAATCTTGGAGTTATCTTTGATCAGGATTTGTCTTTTAACTTCCACATGAAGCAGACCTCTAGGACTGCCTTCTTTCATTTACGTAATATTACAAAAATTAGACACATACTATCACAGACATGCAGAAAAACTAATCCATGCATTTGTTACTTCAAGGCTGGATTACTGCAACTCTTTATTATCAGGTTGCCCCAATAAGTCCATTAAAACGCTCCAATTAATTCAGAACGCTGCAGCATGAGTACTGACAGGAACTAGAAAAAGAGATCACATCTCTCCTGTACTAGCTTCTCTGCACTGGCTCCCTGTAAAATTTAGAATAGACTTTAAAATCCTCCTCCTCACCTATAAAGCTCTTCATGGTCAGGCCCCTTCATATCTTAAAGAGCTCATAGTACGCTATTACCCCTCTAGAACACTACGTTCTCTGAATGCTGGGCTACTTTCCTATAGTCTCTAAAAGTAGAACAGGAGCCAGAGCCTTCAGTTACCAAGCTCCTCTCCTGTGGAACCAGCTTCCAGTTGTGGTTCAGGAGGCAGACACCCTCTCCACATTCAAGAGTAGGCTTAAGACATTCCTCTTTGATAAAGCTTATAGTTAGGGCTGGATCAGGTGAGTCCTGAACCATCCCTTAGTTATGCTGCTATAGGCCTAGACTATCAGGGGATTTCCCATGGTGCACTGAGCTCCTCTCTTCCTCTCTCTTTCTGCACTCATTCATGTCCCATTAATGCATGTTACTAACTTCACTTCTTACCCGGAGTTCTTGTGCTTTCTCGTCTCGCAGGTTCTTATCGATCCTGGTGGAGCCTCCTGCCATGGTCCTGCTAGATTGCCATTGCCAATACTGTTGTTGCTGTGCACCTGTCTGTCTGTCTGTCTGTCTGTCTGTCTGTCTGTCTGTCTGTCTCTCTCTGTCTCTCTCTCTCTCTCTCTCTCTCTCTGTCTCTCTCTCTCTCTCTCTCTCTCTCTGTCTCTCTCTCTCTCTCACCCCAACTGGTCGAGACAGACGACCACCCACCTAGAGCCGAAGGATCTGTCCTAGGTTTCTGCCTTTTAACAGGCAGTTTTTCCTTGCCCTTGTCGCCAAGTGCTTGCTCATGGTGGTACTGTTGGGTCTCTGTAAATAATGTTTTAAAGAGTTCGGTCTAGACCTGCTCTATTTGAAAAGTGTCCTGAGATAACTTCTGTTATGAATTGGCGTTATACAAATAAAATTGAATTGAATTGAATTGAATTGAATTGAATTGAAAAAAGTGCTCCATTCCCGCCCAAATGTGAAGTTTGGTCTACGCTTCCCGGCTACTCTACAGATCACTCTACCAAGCAACGGTGTTGAAATGTTTGAGGATCCTGACATGGCGTTAGAGTTTGTTGAGAAAAACATTCAGAAAGTTGCTGCTCCAGAGACTGTTGAATAAGTCTAGGTTGATTCTTAAATAATTTTTGTAGCTAGGCTATACATTCTAATTGTGCTTGTTTATAATGCTAGCCTATTTGTTTTTCAGTTCTTATGGACTTTTTGTGAAGGCTATCCCTGGGACATTTCAATATTAGCCTAGGCTACTGTTGTTTATTTTCTCTACATCAGCACTCAGTATATAAGACTTGTTAACGGTGCAGTTTGCACTTTACATACTTTCCTTTATGTGTCGCATTTCCTTACACGCCCCTGTAGTTTAGTGTGTTTAAAACTAGAAGGCGATTGTGTTTATTAATAGGTAGGGTATGCGCGCATCTCCACTAGGGAGAGGCTTATGTCACAGATGGGGGTGGGGGGTTATATAACTGTACTGGTGTATCCCTGGTATTGTTTCATGTTTAAACGGGTGGGGGGTTATCCATGGATGTTTTTGTGTGGGAGAGGGGTGCATGGTTTTTGTTTTTGTCTTTCTTTTTTGTTTGTTTGCTGTGTTATTCTGTTCTGTTTCCCTCCATTTTACCGTCAGGTGCTTTTGTTTGCCACAGTCACATGTCTTATCACTTATACTACTTTACAGGGTAGATACTCTATGACCGAAGTCATGCTCCAACTTATATCTGTATGGTGCAAGGAAGTAATGTAAAATGTGTTAGTTTTAACTGCAGGGGGCTCAATAATCCTTCAAAACTCAGTAAGGTACTTCATGATCTCTGACACTCAGACACCCCCATTGTGTATTTACAAGAGACACATCTCAGAGATAGGGACCAGGCAAGGCTGAAGAGTGAATGGATGGGGCAAGTTTATCATTCTTCATTCCTGGGCAAATCAAGGGGGGCAGCTATCCTACTTCATAAATCTATTCCATTTGTACACTCAAAGGTGATTTCTGACCCAAATGGCAGATTCATCATTGTTACTGGTCAGATGTATAACACCAATATAGTTTTGGCCAATGTGTATGCACCTAATTGGGATGATGATTTCAAACGTCTATTTTCAAAACTTCATGATCTTTCAACACATCATTTAATTCTGGGAGGAGACTTTAATACCTGGCTCAACTCGCAGCTAGGTCGTTCCTCCTCCAATAGATGTTCACCATCAAAATCCTCAAAAATAATTCAAGCCTTTATGAATGAATTTTCTGTTTCTGTTGCCTGGCGCTTTTTTAATCCCTCTGGAAGGGAGTATTCTTTCTTTTCTAGTGTCCACCACACTTTTACGCGTATTGATTATTTCCTTATCGATAACAAACTCCTTCCATCGGTGTCATCCTGTAAATACGAGGCAATCGTTCTTTCTGACCATTCTCCTGTGTCCATGACAGTTTATCTTAAAGGCCGTGTTGGATCGCGTGTTCCATGGAGACTCAATACAAGCCTCCTCTCTGATCAGGATTTTGTTAATTTTATTATTTGTCAAATAGAACTGTTTGTTAGCCTAAACAAAACTCCTGATTTTTCAGCTTCTGTTGTATGGGAAAGCCTGAAAGCTTACATCAGGGGGGAAATAATATCTTATGCAGCATATCAGAAAAAAGTTAGTGCTGACCGACTCTCTATGCTAACTCAGCGTATATCTCAGCTTGATGGCGTATATGCAACTAATCCATCCCCAGATGTGTATAAGGAACGCTTATCTGTACAAGCTGAATTTGATATCCTTATGACACAACGCTCCGCTGAACTCTTACTTCGAACCAGATCAACCTATTTTGAACATGGCGATAAAGCTAGTAAATTACTTGCACACCAACTGCATCAGGCAGCCTCTTCCCATCAAATCCCTCAGATACAAACAGACCTGGGCAAGATATCTGATCCATTAGAGATTAATAATGCTTTCAAAGACTTCTACATGTCACTTTATGCAACCGAACAAACTTCCGCCTCTCGATTTCAATAATCTTTTTTTTAATGGTTTTGATGTCCCTTCTATTGGAGAATTTGCTGCAGATAAATTATATCAGCCTATCACAGTAGAGGAGCTCAATTCAGCGGTCCTGACATTGCAAAGTGGTAAATTCCCAGGACCGGACGGGTATCTCCAGTTCTACAAGGTGTTTTGGGTCCAGTTCTCCCCTTTGCTATTAGAAATGTATAATGAATCATTTGAAAATGGCCTTTTTCCTCAGCCTCTCAATAAGGCATCTATTTCTCTCTGAAGAAAGACAAGGACCCCTTAGCCTGTGCCTCTTTCTGTCCTACAAGTTTACTAAATGTTGATTTTAAAATACTGTCTAAACTTCTGGCTCCTCGTCTAGACTCTATTCTCCCAACTATCATCTCACCAGATTAAACAGGGTTCATATGCAATACACACTCTTTCTCCAACCTTAGACAGGTATTTAATACCATTTACAATCCTTCTATCTCTCACACAGAAGAAGCCTTGGTGTCCATGGATGCTGAGAAAGCTTTTGATAGAGTGGAGTGGAACTATCTGTTCTACACTCTGGGAAAATTTGGGTTTGGGGAGAAATATATATCCTGGATTAAACTGCTCTACTCCTCCCACAAGCCTCAGTTAGAACCAATAACATTCAATCTGAGTACTTTCATCTCCATCGCTCTACGAGACAGGGCTGTCCTCTAAGTCCTCTTCTATTTGCAATTGCCATTGAACCCCTTGCTGTGGCACTTCGTTGTGACCCCGATATCTCTGACATACTTCTCTTTCTTTCCAACCTCTCTGTTTCTATACCTGCCGCAATGGTCTGTCTTCAGTCCTTTGGTCAAATATCTGGCTATAAATTAAATCTTACTAAGAGCGTGATATTCCCTATCAATACAGCTGCTCAGACATTCCCTTTACACAACCTGCCTTTCAAAGTAGCCCATCATAGCTTTAAATATCTTGGGATTCATGTCACTCGCAAATTCAAAGACCTTTTCAAGGCAAATTTTGCTCCTTTGCTATCTAAAACTTAAGAGGACTTTTGAACGTTGGTCTCCAACTTGTCTTTGGCCGGTCGTCTCAATTCTGTGAAGATGACTACTCTCCCACGTTTCTCATATCTGTTTCAATCTGTCCCCATTTTCCTCCCTCAGTCTTTTTTCTGTAAACTGGACAGTCTAATTTTAGAATTCATTTGGAATAAAAAGGTCCCTAGGTTGCGTAAACAATACTTTGGGTGTTGGCTCTTCCCAATATGACATTCTATTACTGGGCCGCTAAGATTAGAATTCTAAAATTCTGGCTCCAATATGAAACTTTAGATCCCGCGCCCACTTGGGTAACCATGGAGGCATTTTCTACTAAACCAGTTTCATTGAAGGCTGTAGTGCATTCTTCTACTTTATCCTCCACTTCTCCGTACAGTAAGAATGTGCTTGTGAGAACTTCTCTTACAATTTGGGCTCAATTCAAACGCTGTTTTGGTTTACAATCTTTCTCCATCCAAGCTCCAATAGCTAATAATAATACCTTCCCTCCATCTCTTGTCGACAATGCTTTTTCAATTTGGTCCAATCAAGGCATAGTATCATTTCAGGATTTATACATTAACAACACCTTTGCGTCCTTCCAACAGCTCTCAGAGCAGTTCTCACTCCCTAAACATCACTTTTTTAGATACCTACAAATTCGTAGTTTTGCTCGCACAACCTTCCCAAACTTCCCCAATTAGCCCAACGAGTCACCTCTTGATACGTTTTTCTAATCTAGTTATTCACTGAAAGGGTTAATTTCAGATATTTATAATCAAATTGTCTCTCTTCGTCCAGATCCACTGGATCTAATAAGAGCCTTGTGGCAAGAGGATTTGGGGGAGGAGTTATCTGAGGTTTTGTGGGATGAAATTCTTAGTTGTGTGCATAAATCTTCCATATGTGCGCGCCATGGCCTTATTCAGTGCAAAATTCTGCACCGTATGTATTACACTAAAGAGAGGCTGGCTAGGATCTACAAAGATATATCTCCACAATGCGATAGATGTAAGCAAACCCCAGCCAATCTAATTATATGTTATGGCTCTGCCCATGTCTGTGTAACTACTGGACGGACATTTTTAAAACTATTTCAGACATAGTTGAAGAGTGGATCGAGCCGAATGCTCTCACCGCATTGTTTGGTGTCTCCTCCTTTGTACCTTCCCTATAACAATCTAATAGAGATGTTATCGCCTTTGTCACCTTATTGGCAAGAAGACAAATTTTTACTAAATGGAAGTTAAGAACCCCCCCTTGTCATGCACACTGGTTGGCGGATGTCCTCTATTTCCTTCAATTGGAAAAAATTAGAGTTTCTACAAGGTGTTCTTCTCAAAAGTTTTGGAAGGTATGGGGCCCATTTTTTCTATATTTTGAGCGTACTAGTTTCTCACATATCCCTGACTAAGACTAGACTGACCTAAACCTGGCAATATGTCGTATTTTGTACTCTGTTAGGGTGACTACCTATTGTAATGTTTGCTGAATTTGGATAATGTATATGTGTC